AAAAAGCATGCGATTAAATCCCAATCACTATTCATGTAAGTATAGTATATGTGATCAGTATTATTTAATGAAATTAGCAAATTCTTTATAAAGGGTTTTTGTCAGCTTCATTGTGATCCTTCAGAAATTCACCCCAGATTATAGCACACACATCAATTTTTAATTGAGTTACATGAATGTTTATCTCTCTGTAAAACAGCTCACGTCTTAAACTGATGTCAGTTAAAATGAGATCAGGAACTATACGCTCTTTATTAGTGTTGCGTGGTTGGAGATATTAGACAGGAAATCCTGGTTTAACTAGGTAGGTTTTGTACCATTTTACACTCGTCACTAAAGTATACCTGTAATCTTGAGGGAGCTGATGATCCCTGAGGAATTTGAGACCACATCACGCAGTTTCATAGTGTTACGACCTATCTTATCACATCTCAGCTACTCTTATTCTTGGACGTCACTTCACTCGACAAGTCCTCAAATCAGAACACGGTTAAACAGGAATGTAATTATGTTCTAAATTAACAGGGTTTAATGGAAGCATGAATCACAATAAGAAAAATTTAGTATATTTATAATTTTTATACAAGAATATTCTAATCTTCTCCAAGTATTCGCCAATCAACGTGCTCCGACACAATCCTGTATGGAGCATGCTTTAATCCAAACTATATATCGTAAACACACTCTATGGCGTTACCAACTTTTGTAATCTAAAGAATAAAGAGGTTAAATTGGTTCTGTTTGGGAGGTGGATACAGATGCCCAAAAGAACAGAAATCTGGAGTCTAATAATGCAAGTGCTCATAGTAGGAAGTCCTCCAACTGAAAATCAACATCTTAAGCTATACACCAAGGAGACAACTTTTTTCGCTCAGTATATCAACTTATAGTGCTAAGTGGTCTCAACAGTTTCATCGCAGTTTAACCTAGTTGCATAATAATCAATTAACCAACCGACTTCTCAAAGTATTCAAATGTTGTTTACACAAGTATATAAAGAGATATTTTTGTTACAGATATGTTAACTATCAATAAGGAACACAGTACAAGGACAAAACTTTTATTTTTGATAAATTTAAACTATCCCCCACCAACAATAGTGTGGTATCACATTTAATGATACCGTTCAGCTGCTCAAACTGAAGTCTGTAGGAACGAACTCGAATATATGAACTACCAATTAAAAGTTAAATGCCTCGGCTATTAACCCACTGCTCCGCTTGGAGGGCATTGCTACGATGTTTATTCACCACACCATGGTCATTTTACGACGTATCACTACATGAAGTTGCAATAATTAGTCTACTTTGTTGATACCATTTGATAAAACTTCACAAATTTCGTACGACCACAGATGCCTTAGAAATACTGATCGCATCTGCTGGGATCACCGGGTAAGTAATAGTGAGGTTAGACACATGGTATTAGGAAATGATGGTAAATCAGTTGATGAGGTCATGAATCTCCATCGAGTGAGATGGTTAGGCCACGTGCTACGTATGCCTGAACACCGATTACTACGATGCACTATGCTGACTAGTGTAGGGGATGGTTGGAAAAGAGTTAGGGGTGGCCAAACCAAAACGTGGCATCAGTCCTCAAAGTCACCAACTTCTAGTCTGAGCCATGTTGGTAGGTGCAGACTACCTGATTGGGGTCCGTGTGACTATAGTAACCAATGGTTGTAGACTCTAGGTGACATGGCTCAGAATCGATCACAATGGCGTAGGTGTATACACTCTTTATCTTCCCTTTATTCTTAAGACTAAAATTGCTTCATATCTTTCTTCCTTCCTATATTATATCCTTATATACAACCTATCTTTTATTTACTACCACCACCACTAAATTAACTATCTCTATGAATCCGGTGTTCATCTTGTTGTGCTAACGAGGTATGGCAACTTGGACCGATGCATATATGTGCCTGGTCCTATGTTGTAGCTGACTGACTGACACAATAAAACTACCAAATCTAATAATTACAAAATCGATTGTGGCAAACAAGATTATTTTAAATATCGACAAACTTAAATATGAAAATAAGGACAATCTATAATTAGATAAATTTTTCGGCTTAGTTTGATGTATCATAAATAAAAAGTCATTGATGAAGATTCTTTACAAGATTACAAAACGTGGCTGGAAAATGTGATAAGAACAATATTATTATTCTTTGCCAGTTCCAGATGATCTTTCTTACTATCTCAAACGGTGTAAGTTGCTTCGCAAAACTAAACCTAGCCGAAGCCTATCTGCAAGTAGAGGTCGAATCTACTGATAATAAACAAACATCGAGGTTTATTTCGTTATAAACGACTGTCTTCTGAAGTGAAGACGGTACCAGCGATATTCCAACAATTAATGGATACCAGATTAGCTGGTATTATAGGTGTAGCCGTTTATTTAGACGATATACTCATAGTGGCAACATCGCCAGAAGAGTTATATCACCGAACCACCGTCGTAATGATGCCACATGCTCGAAGGTCATATTCTGCTACTATCGTAACAATTTGGTTTGACTTGCTTGTTCTACCACATATATCAAGTTACCTGCCATTCCGTCTTCTTCCTGTCTTAGCAGTCGAAGTTTGATATGTTGAACATAATTGAGTGTTGTCAGTTACAAAAAGAATCGATTGTATTAGAGAAACTCAATCATTTCTGTCCCTAAATACGTAATATCGTAGACCGTACTGAATTCTAACAAGACACAACAACGCAATGAGCTGTAAATTCAATCAACTGTTTAATTGGTAAATACCATTTTACATAACAATACACTTATTTATCTTCACTATTTAGTTTATTTATTTATTTAAACACAAACATTGGTACAAAGAAGCACCAGATATATATGCGCCACACAAATCTCATTCGATTTGTGTGAGGGCTGTGATACTGCTCAGGTGCCTAAACTGAAGCAGGTGCTTTTCTTCGGCGGCCACACTCCGAGCCTTTGACCTAAAGGTCTGATCCATAAGACAGTGGAGCATCGTAAGGAGATGCAGTCCCATGGTAGCCGGTGACCAACGATTGATTCATACGCTATTTGTTCCCTCAGGATACTGGAGCCTCTGTGAACGGTCGGTTTAGAATCAGGGTTTTCCAACTCCCCTAGGTAGACTTTACCTGTCCACCAACCCGGTTAAAGTGCAGGAAATTCGCTTTTCGTCCTCTTAATTTCGTAAACAACACCCGTGGTGTGAGAAGGCAGTGAGTTGGACTTCTCTGGCAGAGGCTATATACGCGTGGCCATGTGAAAGCATTTCGAGAGAGAGTGGACTCTCCCCACTCTCGGCCGTACCAGGGCATTTGGGGGCTCACTATTTAGTAAGTTTTCAGTATCCATTTGATTCAAATGATTTATTTCAATAAATTTTTATTATCGTCCTAGACACCTGAAACTTTTGCAGCTAATAGTGTTGTCTAGAAAGGCAATAGAATGTTTAATATTGAATTATTCAGCTCAGAGAACGCAAAACCAAAGTGATCCTGCTGAGTTATAAATTACAAACTGTCTGCAGAGGGTAGTTGAAAAAGTTAAGAGCAAACTTAGGGTGATGTAGGAGTTTGACGCAAAAGATAGGGACTTAATTTACTAGTTGTGGCCTAATTTAACTCATCAATGATCTATGGTCATCTACTTCACTACATCTACATCGATAAGGACTATGCAACGGAGCATTAATTACCAATCAATAACTAATCAGTATAAACATTTGCGTTACAGAAAGTCATTTCTGTCTCAAGTAACATAGTAATAACATTTCTGAAAAAATACTGTGAGCCAGGCTCAAATTCCTTATTATCTTCTTTAAGATTCTGGATAAATTTTCTCGATAAGAGTCAAACACCTTGAAAAGTAAGTCTACAATTTCTACTAACAGCAAAAAGGTGCATCACAATGCTGAATCACTTAGATCAGTGGACATGTTGAAATTAACTTGGTGGGATTCTATCAGCATGAAGGACCTGATGACCACTAAGTGCGACGTTAATTTTTTTCAAAATATATCCTAACTATTTGTTTACAATATATTTGTATGTTATTGTATACAAGCAATAATGTTAGTCGATACGTGATTATAAATTGATTATCTGCACTAACATTTTACAGCTAGTACACTGAGACTTGTACGATGGTTTGATGATTACAACATCTGGCTTCTAATTATTAAAAGTTTGCTTCACCTATTTGGAATTTGAATAACTAGGTAGTAACAAAGGTGTAGTTTGAAGTTGACAGTACAAACATATATTTAATAAATAGGATGAATCCTATCATAGTCTAACCAGATGATATAATCTACAACTGACTATATGTACAGCGTTACTTAATTACTTACAACTGTTACCCCTTGTGGAGGAGCATAGGCCAACCACCAGTATTCTTCATCAAACTCTGCCCTAAGCTATGTACGACTAGAATAAATATATTTCTATTTACTATAAGTGATCAATTGTTTAACATTCGACATTCAACAATTATATCATAGAATTGAACTTATACTTTCGAGTTCAGTTGCAGCAACCTGACTATATCATTAATCTATAAACAAAAAGAAATGTCCACAAAACCCCTTCTGATTTATAATCCTATGCTCACTAGTGACTGAACGTAAGGAATGTTTCTTTGAGTTCTAGTGGGAAGCAGTGACAGTGGAGTTCAACCAAGTCTGTTTTAGGGATATCAACTCACTGAAGACAATGGTGGACGGTTGCACAGACATCGTGAATTGGTTGAAGTTAAACATCAACACCGTTGGATGCCGACCGGCTCAGTGGTCTATCGGTTAAGTGCTCTGACGCGAGGCTAATAGGTCTGGGTTCCAATCTCGCTCGCCAGGTAGGACCGTGGATGCGTACTGCTAAGGAGTCCCATAATAGGATGGAACGGCCGTCAAGCAGTGCTTCCAAGTTTTCTATAGTGGTCTGGCTTCAATTGACTCATGATTTCAACCATGAAAAGATACATGGATGAAAACTGGTAAATGAATCACATCGAAACTGACTTTATTATTTCTCTGGAAAAATTAAACAATATTATATATCAATAATTTATTGTAAATCTCTTTATGTGCTATGCATGATAATAGGTCACGTACATACATACACACACAAACAAAAAACAACAAAAAAGCAGCTTCACATAGACATTATGAATTTATAATATGCGCCTCTATTCTACAAACATCCTTAACAAAGTATAATGATGAGTGTACAATTAAAGGCACATAGTAATAACAATTTGCATTTACAATATTGAAAGATGACTTCTTCTTGTTTAATATCGAATGGTTAGACAGTGAAAAAGATGATGATGATGGTAATAGCAGTAATAGCAGTAGTAGTAGTAGTAATAGTAACAAATAAAGTCACAAAATTCTGATTAGTTTCTTTCAAACTTATCCAATCTTGTTCACCTAATCTATTGTCTCTTGTAATTGACCATTTGTAACTTCACGTCTTTGATTAGTTACTCTAGTTGATAATAAATCTGATTGACATATAGGACATGTTAATTTATGTTTCATCCATTGTATAAGACATTCTGAATGATAAAGATGACCACATCTAGTTATTTTAGATGTTGTTATAGTCATTTCAATAAAACATATTGGACATATATCACCATAACGTTCTAATTGTAATTTATTAGGATTAACTAAATCATTCATACGTTTAGTACATAATAGCCGCCATCTTATCCATAGATATGCTCTACGAGCTGATGGATATAAAACTAATGAAAAATAACAACATATAATAAACAGACGACATAAGCCGAAAGAATCATAAAATACTAACCAACAAACGGTTAGAAATGATAATAATGATATAAAATAATCAATTACTGAACTAATTACTTTAGTCCAAAATATTGTTGGTTGAAATCCAGTCCAATTTGGATAACGATAAGAATATTGATATATAACATATTCAATTAATGTAACTATAAGGCTAATTAATAATTGACAACCGCTTAAAAATATTCTTAACCGCCTTGCAAGTATTGCTTCTTCTGATGAACCAATATGTGATAAAACAGCTAAATAAGATGCATTTTCACTATGATTCATATTACGTATATATTCTAATTTGTCATTTGTTAATATTCTTGGTAAACAAGTGAACATATTGAAAGATGTAAATATGAGTACAATACAAAAACATAATGGTCGTATATGTTCAGACCAATTGGTTTGTTGACCAGGTGCTCCAAGACGTAATAAAAATGATTTGATCAATGCTTGAATAGGATGAATACATGCAATTACAAGAACCATAATTCCATACATAGAACATGATGCACGATAAACTGGTGGAAGATTAGGCATATCTGATTGAAAAGCTAAGAATAAAAAAACAACAGCACAATTCCATCCAGTACTAGCTAATAATTCCATAGCAATAACATCATTTTGATCTAAAGCTAATGCTGGATCATCAATTACATTCCATGTATGTGGATCAGCTGGAGCTTCTGCGACTACTACTGCTAATCGAGCTGTACCAGTACGAGATGGATCCAATAAAAAGACCAATATAGAAACGAAAATAGTAGCTAATGCACCAAAAAATGCAGCTGCTCCACACACTGATAACCAGGTTTCTGATCCATGTACAAAAAGACCAACAAATAATCTTGTATATAGTATAGATAATGTTGATTGATTGGAAGTATCCAGATTAGAGTATTCATCTAATGTAGAAGAATTGAATAGTTTCGCTGATATTTCATCAACATTAATATCACCAGTTGGAATAATTCTCCAGCAGATTGGACCCAAAATAATCACTGACATTAGTTTAAATGACCAAAAGTACATTAAAATTTGTGGTACATCTAATCGATTCCAATGAAATGTAATATAATCAACTAGACCAAGTCGATATAATTCCAATTCTATATCAATACATGACATAAACATTTCATAAATATCAGTAATGCTTAAACAATACAATAAGAGTAGTATATAAATACATAATAAACCATATGAACAAGTTAATAAGATTAGATCATATCGATAAGCTTCTTCAGAAACAATAGTTATATCATGAACAATATTATTCACATTTGATGAAAACATGTGAATATTTGAGGGTAGACAAAGAGATTGCCAATTGTTATTTACATTAGATTGTTTGACACAACAATTCGGTTCAATCATTGTATAGACATAAAATAAACAAGACGACGAAAAATTATTTAATCCATAGATGATATTTGTATGAAATGAATGGTTATCATTTGCTGTTGTTGTTGTTGTTGTTGTTATCATCATTCTTAATGGTTTATCATTATCGGATCTTATTAATTCTATTGATGAAGACTTAATAATAAATGGCAATGAAGAGATAAGTAATACAGAAATATAAAAAAGTATAATTATAAAATATTTATAGGATGGTATACGCCTGAATATTGAATTTATTAACATAAACAATAGTGAAGTGGCAAGTAATAAACAGCCTAATATACAATGCCATCGTATAAGTAATGACAGTGAAGTAGAAGAAGAAGACGACGAGGGAAAATAAGTAGAGAAAGAAGAAAAAGCCGATGGAAATGTCGGTAATGTGATCGTATACAATAAAGACATATAATTCATAAACATTATACAAACAAGAAAGAGATTTATTACAATAAATACAACAGTGAAAATGCCTTTAATGTAAATAACTGAAGTGACTGCACAAATGATGAAAGCTGAAAATTAAAAAAATATAGAACGGAGATAAAATATGATTATGGAGTATATTAGAAAAACTAGTACTATTTGTAAAGTGCACTTTTGACAAAGTTGTAAATTATATTGAACGGCTTAAATATATAGTTGTTTTATTCAGGTACCAAGTGGTCTTTTATTTATTTATTTAAACATATGAGCCACACAAATCAATCGATTTGAGTGAGGATTGGAATACTGGACGAGCACCCAAACCGAAGCAAGTGGTTTTCTTAGAGGTTCGCTCTCTGAGCCTTCGATCTAGAGATCTGGTCCATAAGCCAGAGGAGCAGCGTTATGAGATGTGGTCCAATGGTAGTCGGTGACTAACAATAGGTTCATACGTCTTTTATTTCTTCAGGATCTTGGAGACCATTGGTTTAAAATCAGGTTTATCCAACACTTGTAGGTGAATGCTCTGTATCTAACAGTCTGGTTTAAGCTTCATACATTCGCTTTCGGTCCTCCCAAGTTTATAAATAGCATCCCTGCCGAAAGAAGGCAGTGAGTATGACTTCCCTGACGGTGGTTGTATACGCATGGCCAACAATTGAATCAAGGCATTTCTTTTGGTATGAAGCTCTCTAGTCAATCAACTTACGGATATCTATAAGTCATTTTTTATCTAGTAAAAAGGTACTAACAAAAGTTTATCAGTAAGCTAGTGTGTAATTAGACATTTGAACTCTAACGAAAAACCTGAACCATTAGAACGAGATGATTTTAGGTGTATAAATTCATGGGTTTTGAAATGTCCTGTAGGGACAAGCACTTAAGATTTTAAGCAAAAGCTTTCATCTTGAAAGATAAATTCAAATACGTTCCACTACATTATTAATTCCATGATATTAACGAATATAAACAAAGAAACAAACAATTCGACAGTGATACACTCACTAATAAGAATCAAAGGTTTTAAAGACGCTCAAATGATAGCTTTAATCTAGAACTCGAAATTTATTCGAAGTTTAGTTATTTATAGTAGTTTTACGGATGATATCAATCTGTGATGGAAAATATTCCCAAATGTAGAAATCTCTCTACAAGTTTATAACAACAGCTATGAAAAATAAACGAAACAAAACAAAAATCTTACCGACTGAGATAATGAAGCTGATATGAGATTCATCTGGACACAAACAAGAAGGACAAGTCGATGTTATCCAATTGGAATAAAGTTTCCAGTAATCATAAAGAAAAGTAACGCGCTTTGTTGCTACTAATTCGACAAAAAATAAGAAAGGTAGTCGTGCAAATGTATCCCCAATACGTGAAAGACTTTGAAGCATTACGGGATAATATGTTCTTTGGAACCCAAAATTTCAAGACTGTGAGAGAGAGAAGAAATACGACAGGAATTATTTGCACACGAATTGATGTTATAAACAGAGCCTCATTATGGAAATGATGCGCCGCATACGTTGAATCTCAACAGGATCTCCTATGATTGGTAGATTGATAAGTAAAAACTGATTATATAGTAGGTGAAAATGAGTATCCTTTTCAGTCAAATCCTCCTAAGGTGAACAGTTGAATGGCATGATTAGCAGTTTATTTTCTGCAGTGCCAATGTTTTCCACCCGAACACAAGTGTACTGTATTTTAAATAGAAACTAGTAACGGTTCGCGAAAATTGGATCAAAAATTGTGCCACATTGGCTAGTGACTGGATTCGTAACATACATGTTCACTTGGATCATTAATTAATACATGAATCATGGTTTTCGATAGATAGTACGAGCAGTTAACAGACTCTGTAGGTGTAATTTTAATATATACAAGGTATTGATGATTAAGTTTTGATCAAGCTTATTTAATTAAATAGTTACAGCTAACAGTTCATTTTATGAGTTTCTTGTAGGTTCAATTTGGTGATACAAACAAATTACAACCTCTGATATACTGTAAAAAGTCATTGTATCAGAAAATTGAAGTGTTATATAGAGGGATGTGAATGACATTGTGACAAATACTAGGCAATTCTTTTATCTAAAGTCGTTATTTTACAGATTCACTCAATTGCATTTATGGTTTATTGGATAGTCTTACTTGTTAATGAAATCAATCATGGCGACTTCAGCTGCCGAAGCTTTTAAAAAGTTAGGGCGTTTCAATCAGAGGTTAAGTGAACGTTTTATTTCCATAACTTATCATCCCCGACCTTAGTACGTTTCACGTAATATAAGACTTAAAACTAACAAACTGACCACAATACTAGGCAGGCTAATTTATCATATGATGTCGAACGCGTCAACAACTTCACTTTTCTTGGAAGCCTGTTCAGCCCCAATGGGTTGGTGTCTGACGAAATTTCAGCACCGATTCAAAAAGCTCGTTTGGCTTTTGCCAACTTACGTCACCTATGACGAAGGCAAGATATCCATATATCAATTGAAGGATGAACATACTGCGCGGCAGTTTGTGCTGTTCTTCTTTACGGCTGCAAAACGTGGCCACTACGAGTAGAAGATACTCGTAAGCCACTAGTATTTGATTGCAGATATCTTGGAAATATTGCTCACATCTGCTGGGATCACAGGGTAAGTAATAGTGAGGCTAGATGCATGGTACCAGAGAATGATGGTAAATCAGTTGATGAGTTTGTGAATCTTCATCAACTGAGATGGTTGGTCCACGTGTTACGATGCCTGAACACCGATTAGCACGATGCACAACGCCGACTAGTGTTAGGGATGGTTGGAAATGAGTTAGGGGCGGCCAAACCGAAACGTGGCATCAGTCCTTAAAGTCACTAACTTATGGTCTGAGCCATGTTGGCAGATACAGACTACGTGGTTAAAGTCCGCGAGACTATCGTAACCAATGGTTGGGGACTCTGAGTGACATGACTCAGAATCGATCACAATGGCGTCAGTGTATACACTTTTTGTCTTCCCTTATACCGTGAGATTAAGATTACTTTATACATTTCTTTCTACAAACTAATTCTTTCTCGCTCTATTATATCCTTATACATGATGTTTTGCATATTACTACTATTGCAGTAACTACTATGGATTTGGTATTCATTTTGTTGTGCTAATGAGGTGTAGCAACTTGGACCAACTCATATATGAGCCTGTCCCTACGTTTTAGCTGACTGACTGACTGACTATATGACCAATACGCACAGAAGCAAATTTTCCTAATACAGTCTTCACTGACTGGTTGAACATGTTTCACGATTGACTAGGTGAATTTCCTACAGGATATCGACTATCCGACCATCTACTTGGCAGGCATTAGACTTAGAACTGAAAAACACTAAACGATTTTGCTGATATTGTTTGAATTAGCACGCTATTTTGCGCTGCACATATAACACTTGCATTCTGTTCCGACAGTCTGATCAAATAATATTAGCCGGCAATAATTGGACATCTACGTTTGATTGGAAGTGAGGCTATAATTCAAAGTCGGACTGTGATGAAGTCAAGACCAGAGTGAATTTAAAAATAGACGACTGGATGATGTACGTGAATTACTACCTAGCGTCAAATCGAAATAAATTTTTATTAACTCCCATTGTGTATTCATAAAGCTGACAACATAAGTAAGCTTACATTAGCCATACAATTTCAATAAGTAATATATATATATATATATATATATATATATATATATAAACACTTCCAAGTGTATTGTGATGCATATTGGCCACCAGGGTACAGATACATACACGATGAATAACACTGAGTTACCTATTGTTCAGGCACACAATGACTTAGGCGTCATCGTTATTCAAGACTTAAAGACTACTGCACACTGCCGTGCAATAGCCGCCAAAGATTTTAGGACTTTATGGTCCATACGCAGGGCTTTTAGGCATCTTGACGCTAAAACGTTTCTGACTTTGTATACAGTGTTCGTACGCCCTAAACTTGAATACTGCATACAAGCAGCTAGCCCGTCTAAAAAAAGACAGTGAACTCTTGGAAAGGGTTCAGAGAACCGCAACTACGCTGGATCCCGGAATAGCGAAGCTCCCGTATGGTACTAGACTGACCAAGCTACACCTAGTCCCGCTGTCAAATAGAAGAATCAGAGGCGACTTGATTACAGTTTTCAAATTGCTTAATGACAAATTTGCACCTGATATGCCCTCATTTTTCTTGTCTTCCAAAACAGAAAATCTACGAGGACACTCCAAAAAAGTTCACAAGCCCCGAACAAATTACTTGTCAGCTGACTACCGACTTTCCCATCGAATAATCAACGAGTGGAATTCATTACCTCAGCACGTGGTTGAGGCTCCATCCGTCGACTCCTTCAAAAGAGAGTTGGATCAGCTAAGAGACCATCATTGCCAAGACTAACACAGGCCATCAAGCCTCCTGTCCTTTCTAAACTGAAACTGATATATATATATATATATATATATATATATATATATATATATATATATATATATATGAGTAATCTAATAACTGAAAGCCTTTTCAGTGGTGACGAATAATTGGGGATCATACAAGAAACCTTGTCCCTAGGCTCAGTAGACTTCGTCTGTAGAATAAACAGTAAACACACTCCCAACTTTACAGAATAAACAATCAACCTAAATCGATTAATTATTCTAAAAATTTCCGTCTGGGGAAAGTAATTTCTGGGAAATTTTATTAATTTTCGCGGAATTTTTTAAAAACCGTGGGAAAATAATTTCCTATTCATTGGACTGTGTGAGTCGCCCTCAGAAACTGCATTCCCCCCAAAGTGATGTTCAGCATTAATCGTAAAGTACTCCTATAATGTCAATGTGACTTTCTTGAGATAGGTTTCTTCTGATGTTTGTCTCATAAGCATTATATGAAGAAATTAACTTTAAACTGTTTATTCTGTTGAGACTAAAGTCCACAACTTAACCGACAATCACGACATTAAAACTCCTACCAAGGACATCTGTAATTAAACCAACCCGCGTGTTTGGTTCTTCAACTTCCAATCATCTCCAGGCTCTATTCCAATATCCAATATCTTTGTCACAAGCCCGTATAAGGCGATTGATTTCTTTGCGCTCGCTTCTTGTTAGTTCGGTAAAGTTCGAGGTATTTGGCAATGTTCAATTTTTAGTAAGTTAGGCATTAAAATCCACTGGTTCTAATCATTTTGGCGGTTATTTGTGGATTTGTTTATCTCGTAATTTGAGTGAGCGCGTTTGATTCAGGACAGTAAGGATCCTGGATACCAACAACTATCATATTACTAGGAATGTGGTTGGTGGATTGCAATGTGAAAATAATAAAGTGATCATTCGATTGTTAAGAAAAAATAGGTAAATATTTTAACAAATGGTAATGCTTAAAAAGATGGAATTACAAGGATAAGAGGGAAACTAGGATTATAATAAGCAAGATAGGAAGTAGTTAGTGGCTAAGCGGTAATGATAACCATGATGGGTTTCTAGACATAATTCAGATAGATCAGAGGGGGTTTTGTGGAGAATTTAGTATTTTCACAGTTGAAATCATGAGTCATTTGAAGCTAGACCACCATCGAAAACCTGGAAGCACTAGACGGCCGTTTTGCCCTACTATGAGACTCCTTAGCAGTTAGCATCCACGATCCCACATCCACGAACCCTAGATATTAACACCGTTGGATGCCGACCGGCTCAGTGGTCTATCGGTTAAGGGCTCCGGCTCAAGACTGGTAGGTCCTGAGTTCGAACCTTGCGAGTGCGGGATCGTGGATGCGCACCGCTGAGGAGTCCCATAGTAAGACGAAACGGCCGTCCAGTACTTCCAGGTTTTCGATGGTGGTCTAGCTTCAATTGACTCATGATTTCAACTGTGAAAATGCTAAATTCTCCACAAAACCTCCTCTGATCTATAATCCTATGCTCACTAGTGACTGACTTCAAGAGACATTTCCTTGAGTTCTAGTGGGAAGCAGTGGCCAGTCGAGTTCAACCAAGTCTGTTGTAGAGATATCAACTCACTGAAGACAATTGGTGAACGGTCGCTCAAAATCGTGGATTAGTTGAAGTAACCCGTCAATGAGTGCGTGTTTGTCAAGTCTCATCTGAGAGCTATCCCCTGACGTAAGACTATAGTCACTTCCACTAGGAGAATATCCCATATGGGGGTAATTCCTAATGAGAAAAATTGAGAGAGTGCATGAATGTTCGCCCTTTGATGTGCAATCCTTAGATAGTTGCCTGGAGTAGCGTGTTAACGTTTTTGCAATATGCTCGTGTTAGTATGGCTTATTGTGCCCAATGTGTTGCATGCCACTATCAAACCACCTTTAATTTTTCTGTATCTAAACGTGAGTAATCCCAGGTACTAGAGTCTGGCCTCATAGAATTCGTGTTTTTAGACCTATCGCTCACTTGGTTACCCGTCTCTGTACTTGGTCTGAGAGATTATCTTTTTTGAAGAGAAGAGGCGCAGTGATACTATGAACTTCAATATGCGACCGTGTGTAAGTTTTAAAGAGTGTTAGGAGCAACTCTGGACTGATTGTGCTAAGTTGTCCAAGGATGTAGTCGAGATATTCGCCTCTCATGCCTGCATCCCCGGTGTAGTTTGAAGCAATGCCCATGTGGTTATGGGCCCGTGGTCACGCTCTGAAGACACAACCAGGAGAGGATTTGTAAGTGCTTTACGTCAAGTGAGGGGGAAGTTTTATGTCACAGCACTTCCAATTGTCTACTGCTCATTACTCTATCGTTGCAAAGCTATTTAGAAGCGCATGAGAATCCTTTTCGCACTTTTATGAACCTCCAGACCTTTGAATTGTCCGCATAAATCCGCACCATCGAGTGATTTCTATCTAGCAGATCATTAATCAAAACCAATAAGAGGAGTGGACCTCAGATTGTTCACTGCCGAACTCCTGATTTTAATGGTTTCCAACACTCGTCAACTCTATTAACATTGGTACGGAACATCCTGATTTCTAGTTAGCCTTGGAGCCAAGAAAAACATGGCCGAGTGAAATCCTTCTTTACAACCTTTGTTGTGAGAAGTACATGAGGGACTGCTTAAAGGGTTCCGGGAACTCGAAGAACATTACACGGACTGGTATCTTATGTTCCTAGCGGAACGTCTAGCTTTCTCATTCCGTGAGATGTTGGGTTTTATGAAGGATGCTGTCTTATTCGTGTATTTCCTTATTAGTTCATTAACCAATCCTCCCATTATCTTTGACATTATTAAAGATAATGTGACTTACCTGTAACAGGCAGGGATTTTTCTATTCTGCTCCTTGAATATTGACGAGAGAGTAGCCTGCTTTCATACTCCTGAAAGTTGGTGAGAGCTTTGTAAGCCCCTGAACAGGTCACACGCCTGTGTGCTGGTGACTTCATCCCAGTTTTCTAGGATTATAGGCCCTATGCTGCCACATCCCGGTGATTTTCCTTGGGGCAGGGAATGTAGTCTGCTTAACACATGTCCGGGTGCTGGATGTCCCCATGAGACTCAACTGGTACTAGAGTCTAAAAATGTTCTGTGCTTGCGGGTTCCTGGTTAAGTTCATAGAATAAGATGACATTAAAGATCTCCTGCATCTCTAAGTTGGTGAGATCTTCGTGATTTGACCACACAAAAGTGCACATTTCTTGGATTCTGGGCCTCTATGGAAGGATAGTGTAACGTCATGTGCTACGTTAAAGCCACACAGTTTATCCTAGCTTCCGGACAAGCCAATCTATTCACTCT